TATCGATCGGCGGACATCAGATCGGCAGAGAGTGAGTATCGGCCGATATTGATCGGCGGCCGATCGATCGGAGCATCCCTAAATGCCACAGATATATCCATAACTATGTTTGTCTTTGGGCAAGGATCATAGTCTCTTTCTGGCACAAAGACACAGGATAGAGCAACAATAATGTTACGTTTTGTTCTCTGCAGGCCCACCCTAAGGTGTGTGAGAAGCTGAAGGCTCTGATGGTGGAGTGGGCTGAAGGCTTCCAGAAGGATCCACAGCTCAGCCTGATCAGCGCCACCATCAAGACTCTGAAGGAGGAGGGCATCAGCTTCCCTTCCCCATCAGGACAGGTGTGTTTACATCAGGTTTAATGTCATGGTCCACACACCCACAGTGCAAACATATGCTATCTTGGCTTCATTCTGATATATACAATGCGTCATTTTACACATAGCTTCACCAGACAAGCACAGATGTCAAAAATACAAAATGTAAAGACAAGTACATGTGTGTGTATATCACTTTTTCACCTAGTACAATTAGTTATATTTAACCAATGGGCACAAAGGTAAACGTAATGATGCATGTTCTCTGGTCTTTCAGCATCCTTCGCCTTTTTAATTCATAGCCTAAACTAATTGATACAAAAATCAACATCTGACTACACATCAACATTACAATTATCTCAACATTTTCCCCCCAAAAATCCTCAGAAATGTACCAAACTGTCCTGAAATCAGGTCCCTCATTTAGCTCTCATAGTGCTTGATGTTCAATAACCCAACTTGCCTCCTTTGTACACAAAAGATTGGGCAGAAATATCTTTAAAAACATAAACAATTCATGTTAAGCTTTCATTATTTAGCTTTTAAAATGGACTAGGCTGGTCTCTAATGGCGCATTTCCACTGCAACGGGGTCGCCCCGTTTAAGCGTCCCTAAGCGTCCTCGCTCTGGCCTCGGGCTGCCTCGCTGGCCGTCCGAGGCCGTGGCGCATTTCCATTACAGTTTAGGACCTGGGGTAGCAACGCAGTGTAGGCGGGGCGATCGGCTTTGTTTTTGTTCACATTTCGAGTTGTTCCGTTGAGCTCCCGCTGGATTTGATCATCCCCAATGAGATGTCGGAACGTCGTCACCTCCTCGGTCGACCACGGTGTGCTTTTCTTATTAGACGTAGCCATTTTTGTAGCTCATCCGTTTACAAAATGCTGTTTATAAAAATGCTGCAAGCTTGCTTCTAAATATATATGCGACGCTAGGGATGAACTCGCGCGCGATCTTGTGACGATTCTCTCTGACCAATCAGCAGTCGAGAGTGTTGACGTCACTAGTTCAGCCCTGGCCCTGGTCTGAGGGAACCACGATTTTATGAGGCCGGAAAAAGAGGGACTAACTTTTTAGGGGAAAAAAGTACCCACTAGCCGGTACTAGGCTATATGGAAAGGCCACCAAAAACTGGCCTGGACGGTTAAGGACGCTTAAACGGGGCTACCCGCTGCAGTGGAAATGCGCCATAAGAATGAAGGAAAGTGGTTGCCACATCTCATTAAAAATAAAAAGGGCTATATTTAGTTTTGCTTGCCGAAAAGTTTTTGTTGTAAACTTCATTTTGTAACTTCATCACATGTCAGTTTTCACACGCCGTGTTTTGCTGGTTGTGTCCCCCCTAATTCACGTCTCAGTTTGACCACAATAGCAGAATAAGTGTGTGTGGATGCTTCTTGTCTAGCCAGAGGCGATCATGAATGTGTGTGTTGTGTGAAGGTTCATGAATGTGTGTGTTGTGTGAAGGTTCATGAATGTGTGTGTTGTGAAGGGTCAGGCCTTGTCTATTTGTGCTTACTGTGGAATTTCCTCTTCACATATTTCCCATAATTGGTAGTTATGTGAGTTTACGTCCTAAGATCAGGACTGCCCTCATCATTGTTGACAGAGCTGGTTCGTGCTCTGTTCTCTGTTCGATGTGGGATTTATTATGTAACACCTTAAATATGTGTGTTAAGGGTTGAAGTGGACTTTGTTCTCCGGTTGTTGCTGACCTACAAAATGTCTCATCTGTAGTCAGAGTCTCTCTCGGTGGCTCTGGTTCTGTTGTTAGTTGACAGATTTGCTTCTTGAGATGTTTTATGGTCTGTGTTGGTAGATAAAAGTATATTTTAAACACCTTATTTTTGTAAATGCTGTGGACAAAACATTAGAAACCCCTAAAGCAATACAGTCCCTTCAAACTATAGCCTAACTTTGAGAGATATTGCTAACTGAATACCTCTTAGAGCACATGTGTCAAACTCAAGGCCCGGGGGCCAAATCAGGCCCTTGGTGGATTTAATTTCGGCCCGCAGGATAATTTCTAATTCACTATTAGATCTGGCCCTCCGGTATATTGCACGCACACCTTCACTCCATCCTGAGGGTCTCCTCAGCTCAGAGCCTGAGCCCAAACATTGATGACCTTGCACCCAAGATGAGATGCCAAGTATCTGAGCTAGCATCACAGAGCAGCACCACCTTCTGCACTTTCTCTCTCAGGACAACAGGGCATGTTTGGTTTTCTCTCTGAGGGGAATAGTTTTGTTGAAGCTGTTGTTGGCCTGTGGGAAAATGTACTCATAAGAAATGACTCTGAAAAGCTGCAGATAGAGCCATAAGAAATGAATGCAGCTGATTATTTAATGTTGTTTTTATAGGCGATCATTGAAGCTTTGTTAGTTCCAGGTTTAATATGTGCAATAAGTTCATTTCAATAAGTTCTGCAATAAACATTGAACCAGTCCGGCCCTCCACTAGTACCCATTTTTTTATTTTTGGCCCACTGTGTGTTTGAGTTTGACCCCCCTGTCTTAAAGGGTACATTCAGATCCTTTTTGAAGTGGTTTTGTTGGAGGTGAATTACCAGTAGATTGCAGTCGCCATGCCCCAAATTCAGAGAAACCCCGGTCTAGAGGGAACACCAGGGATTTTAGACTTTGCAGACCATTTACATGCACTCAAACCTACATAACACACTACAGGAAAGGGAACACTTGAAAAAGCAAAATAGGGCCTCTTTAAACTGATATAGTTTCACTTCTTCCTGTCTGTTGTTAGAAGCAGTTGTTTACCGTATGTAAAACAGTCGCTATGGATACGTGCCTCATACAACGTCACTCTGAACCACCCCTTTTATTACCAGTGTAAACAGACGGCTGAGAACATTCAAATAAAAACATCACTGTGGCTTTTAAAGAAATCTCTTGGCTCTAATTGTCTGTCTGATCCTCACGTTGTTGCCACTGGCTGTGCTTCGTTGTTGTTGTTGTTGTTGTTGTTGTTAATGGTGTGTATAATGTTGTGGTAGAGCAGCTCTAATGGGGAGCAGGTGGCTCGTGAGGCAGCAGGTCTGACATTTAATCTGTGTCAGCTGATGAGCTAACTCCAGCCACAGGTAGTGGGACTCCAGCTGTGACTCCGTTTCTTAGTATTTACCTTCAGCCGTCATTCGTGCTCAACTTTGATATCATTTGTAGACGGGAAGCATTTGTTTTGTTTGTGTTCAGACTCGTACTATCAAAAGATGTCCGCCCTCATCGTTTACCTCTCTGTGGGGGGCCTTTTTCTGAATTCTTGCTTCACTGTCAGTCAAGGTCCCAGTTTGAGTTGGAATAAAATACTGCACCCATTAGGTTCCTGTTCTCCGGAGTCCACCGTTTGAATGGTATATCAATTATAATCTTTCTCAACACCCAACTGATAAAACAAGTGAAGACGAGGTGACTTCCACACGTCAATGAAAATGCTACAGTAGTACAACATGTAGTACCAAACATAACCTACAGGTGGCACTAAAGTAGCTGGAAATCTGTTTGCCACTTCTAGCCTTTAAGGAAACATCTAAAAATCGAGAAAATACCCTTAGCCTCCAGAGGGTTAATGCTTTAGTGTAAACACGCACACAGAGACACACACACACATAGACATGCATGCACGCACACACACGCACGCCCACAGACACACACACACACATAGACATGCATGCACGCACACACACGCACGCCCACAGACACACACACACATATGTGACCTTATGTTTGTATTTTGAACACAGGGGTCCAGCACAAAGGGCAGCACACCTGTTGCGAGCAAAGCCTTGGATGATGAGGACAACCTGGCCAAAGGTAATGTCTCGCTCATTTACACACACCTTTATGATCATTAGCACGCTTCATGTGTTCTAAATAGATTCGTTTATCACAGATGCATATTTTCCAACTACAGTACTGAATTTGTACGGCTTATTATTATTAGTTTGGACCAGTATGCTCAGAAACATACTTATCTTTTATGAGTACAACAGTTTTAATTATTTATCGACTAGGTTTTATGGTCCTATAATGCATCAAAGGTTGCTTTGTTTCCTTCCTTATTGATTATTCCCATCTAGTGTGCTGTTCTGAGAGCTGCTCATGTGCTAAGAAGTCAGACTGATAGATTAAGTCGCCGCCAAGCCCATGTGTTTGACTTTTCACAGCCTCTCCTCCTTATATCCTTTGATAATAATAATAGATTAGATTTGTATAGCGCCTTTCAAAGGTCCCAAGGCCGCTTTACATGGTGGAAAAACACACAAACAAACAAAAGGGGCAAATAATAACTTCTCTTGTCTCTTCTCCCTCCACCTCTCCAGCCATCGAGCTGTCCTTGCAGGAGCAGAAGCAGCAGGTGGAGACGCGACCCTTGGCCCTGACCTCTGACCCCCCGACCTACACCAATGGGGGGCAGGAGGCCCGGAAGGTGCGAGCGCTGTACGACTTCGAAGCGGCTGAAGACAACGAGCTGACCTTCAAAACCGGGGAACTTATTCTGGTTTTGGACGACAGGTAACGGATCCTGATTCAGCTCTGCTTCGTCCTCTAACATAGTGATTCTCAAATGGGGGTACGCGGACCCCTGGGGGTACGTTGGGGTACTGCAGGGGGTACGTGAGATAAAAAAAATAAAAAAAAAGGTTAATTAAAAAAATAATATTAGTAAAATAAGTTAAATAGAAAACACAATTTTATATAAAACATTCCTAGAACCACCAAGGGGGTCCTCATATCAACATGTCAAATGTGTGTATTGTATTTTATAGTTTTTCACAATAACATATTACTTAAATTGAAAAACTCCTTGGAAAAATCTGTTTTATAAAAGTGTATGTTCATGCATAAAATGAAAATATCCTTAGTTTGTTGTAATGCACCACGAAGGAGTTAATACATCACACACTGAGGGAACATCACTATATTGTAATTATTTATATAGGCTTTTTCGATCAAATGTTCGGGATCGGTCAGGGGGTACTTGGCTGAGAAAATGTTTCAAAGGGGGTACTGAAAAAAGTTTGAGAAGCACTGCTCTAACAGACAGTGTTTCTGCCATTGATGTCGCACACTTCCTCAGTGATATTTATTATATATTATGAGATACCTACAAGTATCATGATACAATTTACACAGTATATTCTTCCAATTCAACACCCATGTTATACATCCTACCTTTATGACTCTCAGAAAGTCGATATGGTGTCGAAAAACATCTGGAAATACTGTATGGAATAGAATGGGAGGGATGAAACGCTCTTTAATGGTCACACATGCAGAGCACCCAGCACACACAGTGAAATGTGTTCTCTGCTTTTAACCCATCCTAGCACCAGGAGTCTAGTACTAGGAGCAGTGGGCAGCTATTGCACAGCGCCCGGGGAGCAATGGGAGTGAGGGGGGGAAAGGGGGTGTCTGGTGCCTTGCTCAAGGGCACCACGGCAGGGCAGGAGGTGAACTGGGACCTCTCCAAGTAGTAGTCCACACAACATATTTAGGTCTGTTCGTACTAGGTAATAAATATATTTATTACCTAGTACTTATTATTATATAGCCAGACTACAAAATGATGAATTTATGTTATTGTACTGCTCTGAATTTCAGCATGGCTCACTCTTAGAAGCTCATGCATTTGATGTTTTGCTTATTTTATTCATAGCGATCCAAACTGGTGGAAAGGAGAGAACCACAGAGGAGTCGGGCTCTTTCCTTCCAACTTCGTCACAACCAATCTGAACGCAGAGCCGGAGACAGGTTGGTCTTTTTATTAAAGGGGACATACCCTTTCCTGTGTTGTGTTATATAGGTGTCTGGCTATATGTAGGCTAAGGGGCGGGACATCTCTAAGCGGTTGACCAATCACAACAGAGCCGGCCAGCTAACCAATCAGAGCAGACTGGGCTCTGGTTTCAGACAGAGGGTGAAAAGAGGTGCTGCAGCACAGGCAGTATGAGAACAATAAAGAGCATGGAGACATGTCACAGTAGAGACACTACATACATTTTAACCTGAAAATGTGCAGAATAGAGCCCCTCGAAAAACATTGTAGTCCCTTCAGCTGCACAATAACAGAAAGATGACATAATTTGCTCATTTTCAGGTTCATATTTGTATTTTGTGCCTTTTCTGTGACATGTTTACATTCTTTAATGTTCAAAAAGCTCTTTATTGAACATTGTAGCCTTTTAGCTGCACACTAACCTATGTTGTAGATTTTTTTTAACGCATACTAGCCTCTATACCAGGGGTGCCCAACCAGTCGATCGACCGGTCGATCGCGGGGAGATTCCCAGTCGATCGCGAGATGTGTCTAAAAATAGAACAACAATATTCAGTGTTATCATTAATGTCCTATAACATAATCTTCCTGTGCCAGAATAATGCACTTGAACGCATCAAAGCTTTGTGATTGGCCGGCGTGACCCCATGTGTCGGGGCGTGGCTTGTGGCTTGTGGGCAGTGGGCTGACGTGACGTGGCAGTGGGCAACGTTTCGCTGACGTTGTCCGTGTCAACAGGAGTGACAGTCCGCACACACACAAGACCGCAATGGCAGAAGCAAAAAAGCACCAAATATATAATTTTCACTCCGAGTGGGAGGATGATTATTTTTGTGTCTATTCCAATTCAAAGTCCATCTGTCTCATCTGCAATGCGAGCGTGGCTTTATCGAAGAAGGGTCATTTAGGAGCGGCATTTCAAAACAGTGCACAAACGCTACGAGACGGAATTCCCTCCTAACTCTGCCCTACGCTCCAAAAGGGGAGGGGCCTGAAAGGACAGCTAAATGCACAGCAGTCCATTTTCACCAGGCCCAACAACAAGAGCAAGGCTGCTACCAGAGCATCTTATCGTGTCAGTCACGTTCTTGCGAAACACATGAAGTCTTTCAAAGACGGCGAAGTTGTGAAAGAAGCATTCCTGGAGGCTGCCGACGCGCTTTTTGGGGACAGTAAAAATAACAGAAGCATTTCAACAGGTTTTTGATATAATAAAAACTCAAGTTAGATACCGTTATTAATCAGCTGTAAGTTTTAGTTTGTTTGAACTTATTCATTATAATTATTGTACAAAATGGTATAAGAATGCAAACTTAAATTGATTACAGTCTATTATCAATTCAGGTTAAGAAGCTAGTGTTGCTTGCATCCTATTTTAAAGGCATTTCTTTTTATAATCTACTAAAATGCAACAAAAAAAGGGTTTGATTATATTAATTGTCTTTTTTATTGCACTGTTGCAGCAGATTCCTGAGTAGCTTCAGATCTGAGTTGTCTTATTAGTAAGCCTCATTTATACTTTTGTAGCAACACTATTTTTATATAATGGCAAAGAAAGGGTTCAGAGTCTTTTCTTTTTTCCCTGTGTCATATGTGGCAGCACTGTTCAATGGTTCTTGAAAACATTACCCACTGTAGTGACGTGTGAATAAACTCCAACTCCGTATCAACAACACTGTTGTGTAGCTTCAGTTAAATACTTGTATGTGTGTAGATTAGAAAGAGGTAAGATAAAGGATCTGCAGTATTTTATGAAGTATTCATCGTACGAAGGTCCGTTTTATACAAGTAGAAGTGTGTATTTACCTGGTAGGCTGTCAGTAATGGCTACGCCTCTCTATTTGGACTGGTAGATCTCGGCAGACTGGCAACTTTAAAAGTAGCTCTCGGTTCAAAACAGGTTGGGCACCCCTGCTCTATACTCTTGTGTTATTTCATCAAAACTGAAGCCAATAGAGAGGGGAAGTCCAGCCTATCTACTTCCGACCCATGGGACCTTATTTCGGAAAAATGCGGAGAGAAAACGTATCTTTCGATTCCGTTTGAATTGTGCCATGAATTACACATATGATGTTTGTCAATTTAAAAAATCATGTCAAAAAAGTCAGTTTGTCGTAAAACTGTTGAAATATAAGACTATGAAACTAGAAAGACTACAAATCCCAGAGTCCCGGTCCCGCATGCTGGCTCTTAGGAACCGACTAACTCCCCTTGTGTGTATGCACAGCTCTCAACGCGCCCAGACTTGGAGTGATTTTCACCTCTTTGAATACTTTCCGCCTCGTTCTGAAAGAAAGAAGTGAAATGTTTCAACGTGACGGCCGTCTTGGTGTGTGGTGCGAGACGGGAGATGTAGTTCATTGAGCGGTTTCACACAAAAAAAGTGTTACTTCACAGTTTTACGACACATTTTTATTTTTTTGACTGAAATTATCTTTTAGATTGACAAACATCATATGTGTAATTCGTGGCACAATTCAAACGGGATGGAAAGATAATCTTTCTCTCTCCATTGACTTCAATACATACTTTTTCAGAAATAAGGTCCCATGGAGCTCCCCCGGAAAAGGAGGGACTTCGCCTCTCTATTAGTTTCAGAACTGCGTATTGAACCCAACCTTCTGCTCCACAGTGGCTTTTATTGAGAAGTGCTCTACTCCTGAAGAGACGAGCCTGGAAACCAGAGCAGAGCCTGAGCCCGTCTTCATCGACGAGGTATTACATTTTCCTCAGTGCAGATACAAATCCCTTTCTCAATCACAATGCCAATCCAAACCCTGCTGTCTCTCTTTGTGTCCTCAGGGGAAGATGGACAGCACGCTGGCTCTGCTGCAGAACGCAGATCCTGCAGATTCCACTCCTGACACCCAGGATCTGATCCAGCTGGAGGGTACAGCCCATAATGCTGCTTTAAACCCAGTCCTTTGCACAGTCTGAGCAGCAGTGTATGTCTCTAACTCTGCTCTTTCCCTCCCTCACTGTCAATATGTGAACAGGTGCATGTGAGCAGATGAACCCGATGATCGATGAGAAGCTGCAGGAGATTGACAGGTAGCGTTATCAGACATCTTTTTATATATATTTATTATTTTATTCACAATATGGCAGCAATGATAAAGTGGCTGTGGGAGACAGTATAATACAAAACACAACAACATACAACTCCAGGGGGTCCGCGGGGTCTTAACAAGTATTAAAAGTTGATAAATCAATTTAGCTAAAATTTAAGGCTATTAAAAAGTAATAAACGACATTTTCCAAGGTATTACATTTTGTAGCTTGTTTCCAATAAGTATATAAATGGTCCAAAGAGGTTGTATTCTACAGTCTGCCTGAATGTAATCATTGCGTAGGTGTGTAGTGTGATTCTGTGTAGTTTATTGATGGCATCCCGTTGGGTTTGACGTCATCTGAACAGGACATCGCACGCTCACTGCTTGATAGCGCGGAGGTCCGTTTACGCCGGTTGTTAAACAACATCGTTATGGGGAAATGCAAGTCTGCGTCCAAATGGTTGGAAGATAAGGAGGAAGGACAATCAATACTGAATATAGTCAATGTGAGGTAAAGTGTGTCGCCAAGGTAACCGGTTAGAACTCCAAGTGGAGATGAGGTCTTAAAATGTACGGAAAGGGTCTTTAAAAAGGTCTTGAAAGGTCTTATATCTGACTTCAAGATTCCCCCATATACCCTGAACACATTGCGACTACAAGGACAACAAAACAACACAAACAGTCTTGTTTATATCCGTTTGGGGTTATCTGGGAAGATCATTATTTTAGCTTAGGTAAGAAAAAGGCATCCACATCGTTTGAAACTTCTTGGAATAGCCTTTCATTGTGTATCGGCCTTTTGAAGACGTCTTAAATCCATACAAATGATTAGCCTAGCTTCTGTAAGTGACTGAGGTCAGCTAACATTCATTTGAGCAGCTTTGTGTTTTTGCATAATGTGTATTCAGACATGCATGTGTATATTTGTACTGTGAGTATATAACAAAGTAAAACACTACTATTCTGTTTTAGCTGCAGAGACTTAAAGAGACACCTGTCTGCATCTTGATCTGTTCAAATATATCCAACGAATGTGTTGCAGGAAACACTCAGAGTTTTCGGAGCTGAATGTGAAGGTGTTGGAGGCGCTGGAGCTTTACAACAAGCTGATGAACGAGGCTCCGTTCTACTCGGCCTACTCTAAGATGCAGACGCAGTATGCTCCAGCCGGACCAGCTGTTGCTATGCAGGTCAGAAAAATGCATTAAAGCTGCCAAATGATACACTGATACTCACCCATGTCGTTTATTACCTTTGCATTCAAACTACTGTAGTTCCGTCTAATCCAAACATTCGATTCACAAGTAGCAGTACGCTTGTCTCGGACAAAATACGCCTGAGGAAAGTTTGTTTGACTCTTTACTTAAAACAAAAGGTATCAAATACGATACGATATTACTTTATTGTCAGATCAAGTCTGAAATTTGACTTGCGTCACAGCAGCTCCATGTCCAACATCAACAGACAAATATGCATACACAATACATGAAACACAAACATTTAACATAACAGCACAATCAGTGAGAGGAAAACATGCTCAAAGAGCCTTCAGCGTGCATTTGGTCTGGGATTTAGCTCTGTATTTACTGAGAGGACTGACTGATTACATTACATTACATTTAGCTGACGCTTTTATCCAAAGCGACTTACAATAAGTGCATTCGACCAGGAAGATACAAACTTGAAGAAAACAGAATCATATAAGTACATCAGGTTTCATAGAGCCAAAACATTTCAAGTGCTACTCAACTGGCTTTAGATAAGCCAGTCCTTTATTAGTATATAAGTGCTTTGTTAATAAATCTATCGCTCGAAGTGGAGTCGAAAGAGATGAGTTTTCAGTCTGCGCCGGAAGATGTGCAAGCTATCTGCTGTCCTGATGTCAATGGGGAGCTCATTCCACCATCTTGGAGCCAGGATAGCAAACCCACGTGTTTTCGCCGATGGGAACTTGGGTCCCCCTCGCAGCGAGGGCGCAACTGATGCACAAAGGAGTGCTTCAGTCTGACTTTACTGAATCGTGGGACCCTGTATCTCCATTAGATGGTAGCAGTTCATATTCACTGTTCAGAACATGGTTTGGGTCGGAGATGATGTTGTTGGACAGCCTCACCAGGTTGTTATGATAGGCTGAGTCATAGAGTCTCTGACAGGTGGACCAACTATCTTTGAGCAGATCTTTAACAGGTGGAGTAGTTTTGATATTAAAGCTGCTGACAGACATTTGTACCAGGTAGTATTGCAGTACTGCAGAACAGACACGATCACAGATGTAAAGAACAACAGAAGAGTTTCTCTGCTCGCGCCAAAAGACCTGAGACGGCGGAGAAAATAAATTCTTTGTTTTGTCCTTTTGCTCAGATATTCAATGTGATCCTTCCATGACAGCAGATGGTCAATCATTACACCCAGGTATTTGTATGACACTCCCTGCTTGATCTCATCTGTATGGATGACAATGGGGACTTTATGGGAGTCAGATGGTGAGCCAAAAATGATTTCCTCAGTTTTCTTGGTGTTGATCTCAAGAGCATTGCTATCAGTCCACTCGACCACCTGATGTACAGCCTGTTGGTGCAGCTCAGGGTCGTCTGTGTTACTGAGCAGAGATATTATTGCAGTATCATTAGAGTACTTAATGATGACTTGATTTGGTGTGTTGGTATGACAATCATCGTGTAGAGAGTAAAGAGCACAGCTGAACTCACGCAGCCCTGGGGGGCCCTACATTGGTTGTGATGGCAGATGACAGGGTTTTGTTAACCTTCACAAGTTGCTCTCTACTGGTGAGGAACGCAGCATACCAGTAAATCAGGTATGGATTTACTTCCATTTTGGCCATTTTTGACACCAAGATGTCTGCTTGCATTGTGTTGAATGCTGATGAGAAGTCTAGGAAGAGGGCTCTTGCATAAGTGTTACGTTTGTCTAAATGTTTAGTGATGATGTGAACCAAAGTGGCCACAGCATCTTCCGTACCGCACCCTTGTTTATAGGCAAATTGGTATGGATCAAATTTGTCTTGTGTTGTACTGATAAGGAATCGGAGCAGAATTCTTTCTAGTGATTTCATAATCACTGATGTGAGTAAATACAAACACATATTTTCACAGGTCAAAAAAATATATTAAGAGGGGAAGTCCCGCCCATCTACTTCCGCCCCATGGGACCTTATTTCGGAAAAAGTATGTATTGAAGTCAATGGAGAGAGAAAACGTATCTTTCGATCCCGTTTGAATTGTGCCACGAATTACACATATGATGTTTGTGTTTTGTTTCAAAAAAGTCACAGTTTGTCGTAAAACTGTTGAAATATAAGACTATGGAAAATACGCAACTAGAAAGACTACAAATCCCAGAGTCCCGGTCCCGCATGCTGGCTCTTAGGAACCCACTAGCTCCCCTTGTGTGTATGCACAGCTCTCAACGTGCCCAGACTTGGAGTGATTTTCACCTCTTTGAATACTTTCCACCTCGTTCTGAAAGAAAGAAGTGAGATGTTTCAACGTGACGGCCGTCTTGGTGTGTGGTGCGAGACGGGAGATGTAGTTCATTGAGCGGTTTCACACAAAAAAAGTGTTACTTCACAGTTTTACGAAACATTTTGATTTTTTTAACTTGCAAAATTATCTTTTAAATTGACAAACATCATATGTGTAATTCGTGGCACAATTCAAACGGGATGGAAAGATAAGTTTTCTCTCTCCATTGACTTCAATACATACTTTTTCCTAAATAAGGTCCCATGGAGCTCCCCGGAAAGGGAGGGACTTCGCCTCTCTATTGCTTGAGTCATTTGGGTCAATAATTGATATCACGATTATTAAAAACAATTATCCATTTACTTTGAAAATATCCATTTATTGAAAAACAAAATGGTTACCCTGAACTTTAAGTATAATTCAACTGAAAAACCAATTTAAAAAATAATAATAATCGTTTTATTTAGATTATGTTGTTTTCATAATCGTTGCAAGCCAAAATCGTAATTGCGATTAAAATACGATTTAATTCAGAAGCCCTACAAATGACTGACTTACCTAATACAGTGAACTTCAGATCAAATGATTTGGAACGTGCTTGTTCTGCTCTGGTCATATTTCTCTGTCATGTGAAGCGTGTCGAGTCGATACAAAACAAGTGCATGCATTATTTATCGATGGGTTCAGTCAGAGGTTGGTAAACAGTTTACAAGACAGAAGGCTGGAGAGACTTAAGGCCCGGACACACCAAGCCAATTTTGGCGATTCAACATGTTGAATCGGCGGGCAGTCGGCCAAAGGCAGTCGGCCAAATAAATCACTCTGATTGGCTGTTCAGCCCACCCACCAGTTTTCTTCATATTAAACATCAGTACTCTCACGATTTCTTGATATGATTTGAGAGAAAAGAGCCCTACTGTAGAGGAAATCACTCAGAGCAGAGACACAGTGATTATATCTTGCTATTAGTGTCATATTTTATTCCTCACATCCTACCCTTGTGTTATATTTGGCCAGCGAAGCAGTTGGTTTTTGATGCTTCTTGATGGCCTGACATTCAGTCAGCCTTTCCTCCTCCCTGGAGTTCTCTCGGTGGCTGTTTTCTCTGTAATGATTGATGCCACTGTCGCCCCTCTGAGATTTAGAGAAATGTCCACTTCGCTGGCCAGGCCCACACCAGAGTGCTGCTCCAGTTTTTGTCGTCGTTGTTCTTTTCCCCTTCATCTTTATTTTTTCTGCAGAGTACTCTGAAATACCAGGTTGTTATTGCGCCTGCAGTGACATGGATTTTTTGTAAACACAAGTACATAAAACTGCAGAAGAACAAACCTGGTACTTTACCCAGCAACCCTTCCTGACTTTCTGTAACAGTCTGCACTTTAACAGCAACCAGGTGGTTTGGTATCTTACATTCTGTAGCTATATCGCAGTAGCTAGACATTTTTTGGGCCAAATACAAACAATAATCGACTCCTCCTTTATTAGTGTTGCTAGGCTCATCCTAGGGCTGCTCAATTAATCGTATTTTAATCAAAATTACGATTTTGGCTTGCAACGATTATGAAAACAACATAATCGAAATAAAACGATTTTTTTTAAAAATTATTATTTATTTAAATATTTTTTTTTTTTTGATTTTTCAATTGAACTATACTTAAAGTTCAGGGTAATCAACTGTTAAACACATACTACACCTTTTTCTTTTTCAATAAATTGATGTTTTCAAGTAAATGGATAATCGTTTTTAATAATCGTGATATCAATTATTGACCCAAATAATCGAGATTATGATTGTTGCCATAATCGAGCAGCCCTAGCTCATCCTGGGACAGACAGATGATGTTGACTTACTGAGAAAATGGAAAAAACTAAGCTCTGACATTCTCTTAAATTCCTAAAACAAGGATTTGGGCTTTAGCGCTTTTACAATAGTGTGAGTAAAGAGATACCTACTTGTAATGTCTTACTTATGAATGTGATTGGGAGTTAGTGAGCACATGATTGGATAAATGAGACATTGATTACACTAAAGGATTTGTGTGAGAGTTTATCAAATCCGTGCCTTGCTCAAGGACCCCTCGACATTTCCCAGCTACCAGACCACCATACTTGCCAACCCTCCCGATTTTCGCGGGAGACTCCCGATTTCATTGCCCTCTCCCGGTTTCCTCCCGGGGTTATATTTCTCCCGATTTCTGACAAAATCAGATTTACTCAGGACTGTTTCCACTCAGACTTTAATACAGCTACACCATTGTTTGGTTTCCATGGTAGTGCGTCTCTTTAGTAGCGCACGCAACTGAAAGTCAGGGTGAGGAAGATCGTCACAGAACATAGAACAAGAATCGACAACTCTGCTCACTCCTGTCCTTTCAGCCCACACATATGCTCCATCAAGGATGGTGTGACAGGCCGCAAGGCAGTGCACTTAGAACTACAATAAATATGTTAATGTTAATCTAACAGCTCCGGCGATCCACTAGCACCCCCCCCCTTGTGAATCCCTCTTTTTACATATTTTTCCCCAAAACATAATTGTGATATTACTAACTCTCTCAGCACTTATTAAAGCCGCCCCCCTCCCCGTTCCCCCTCTATTCATATCGTTAAAACATGTTATATTCTAATTATGCCTGTGTATATTCCATGTGTACTATCTCGGTTTCTTTCTTATTCTGCTGCTGCCATGAAACCTGAATTTCCCTACGAGGATCAATGAACACCCATAACATTCATCTGTTTGCAACCTACACATTATTTAGCTAATATATCATATTCCAATTACTTGTATATAGACTCTCCTTGCACTATTCTATTTTATTTGTATTACTTATTTGTATAAGATGTTCATTGACATATCTACACTGTAGCTTTGCACACATGACAATAACAGCCTTGAAACTTGACGGTCCATCTTGTCTTATCTTGTGATCTGCTCAGGGCTACATGGGCCCGGCTGGCGGCCCCTACATGCCCCCTGCGATGCCTCAGGGTCCTCCTCTGCAGACCTACTCTCTGCCCAGCGACCAGCCCGGACAACTGCACTCTCTGCCCCCCAACGTCTCCGCCCCCCCCCAACTGCCAAGCTGCTCAGCCTCCCTACATGAGGTAAGAAAACATAATGTTGGGAAAATACTGAATGTACTCTTCCAGTATGAGAGTAACATGATAACAAAGGTATCCCAACTGTAGCTGTGAACATGACAGGATGTGTGATTACCTAGAAGAGCATCAGGACGGTTTGAGGCAGATGATAGCTATGTGATTAACATGATGATTCAGCCTCTATGGAGAGAGACATCAAGCATGCTCATTTCTGACGTGGAGCTAATCTGAAGTAAACATTGAATACTGCTTTCTACTCCTCCATCTTGTGACGGTGTAACTCCCTCTCTTGGATATCAGCATGTGAAGGACACTGTTCAGGAACTAGTTGATGCTCTGTATGTGATGACTCCTTCCATTCTGGAGAGGATCAGAAACACATGGATCCTGAGATTGAAGCTCAAGCCGGGGACAAGCAGTGGCGAGCCGTCAGGACCCTCTAAGATATTCTACAAAATAATATTTAAAGACATTCAAAAAAATTATATGTTTTTCAATATATTTTTTTAAATGTTTTTTTAGTTATATTTTTCATTAGTTTTACTAAAATAACTTGATTTAATTGTATTTAAAATAACATTTCTAAAGAAATAAATCCTTCGAATCTGCCTATTCAATTTCTGTTGGAATGTGAAGGGTTAAATGAAAAGAAGCTCGTCTCCGCGAGGTGAAGACCTGCTATGAATTCACAGAGAGACTCAACTCAACGAGAGAGTTTTGTTAAATGACAGTACAATTCAAATCAAATCAAGTTTTATTTTTATAGCACATTTATAAACGATTTTTGGTCGAGCCAAAGTGCTGTACATATAATACAAATAGCCTACAGTAGAGACACTTTACAGCAAATACAACAGCACAGATTGTTCAGAATATCAGTATGAGAAAAACGACACCCTCTATCCTTAGACCCTCTGTCCTTAGACCCTCTGTCCTTAGACCCTCTGTCCTTAGACCCTCTGTCCTCAGACCCTCACATCGTACAAGGAAAAACTTCCAGAGAAAACCCACAGTTTAAGGGGAACATGGGAGAAACCTCAGGGAGAGCAACAGAGGAGGGATCCCTCTCCCAGGACGGACAGACGTGCAATAGATGCCGTGTGTAAATTGAAGAGATAATACATTTTACAGCAGATAGACCGAATGTTAGGAAATGCATCTGTCTATAATAAGAAGATGAATCCACGAGGATGTCAGCTACAATCCTGTGGGAGCCATCAGGGAAGCAGCATGACGAGACCCAAGGCAGGACCGCAGAGACAGGTTCAGCCACGACCCGAAGTCCACGACTTAATCCAGAACTCAGGATAGAGGATCCAGGACACAGGACTACAGCAAGAGGATCAGCCTCGACTCCGGATCCCGGCGTAGATATAGATACAAAACAAGAAGAAAGATTTGGCTGGGTTAATCGGAACAAGAGAATACACAGACACAGACAGAGAGGGAAAAGGTCATTGGATAAAAGTTATTCTTGATAACCCTCTAGAAAGATCTCATGAACTTCCCCACTCAATCCATCAAGACCCGAGCAGTTCTATTAGAAGTCCAAGGTAAAGGCACAGGCCGGCGCATATCGCTCATGGAATCCCTCACCATATGAACTCTGACCCCTCAAGTGAAGAGACACCATGTGTCAGCTCCTTTTTAGAATAGTATTTCTTCTCTTCTCTGAGAAACAAGGGTATGAAAAGAACAGCCAGAACCAGAGGAAGAGAGGCACAACGTGACTACGTGAATGCACTCTCCTAAATATTAAACGAGTAAGAGGTGAAGAAACACAAAGCCAGAAATTGAAATGAAAAGGCACCATCATGCTTCCCCTTAGAATAGGGTGGAAATTATGAAAAGGGGACAGGGGATACTAGTGAAGAGGGACAACAGTGAAAAGGCCCAACATATCCAACATACTAGCACTCTTCAAAGAGACGGAGAGTCAAAGTATACGCCGAGAGGCACAACGTGACTACGTAATAAATTAGTTCAAGGGAAAGGGGGTGAAAAACTAAGCTAATCAAAAGAAGGAAGTAGAGAGGCCTAAATGCCCTCTCCTAGATTCAGGTAAAGGAAAGAACTGGGGAACAAACAAGTACAGGAGGAAAGGCCCAACGAGTCAACGTCAACACACTCTCCTAGAATAGTTCAAGGTAAACGGGGTCGGAAGAATATAGTAAGAAACAGAGCTGAAAAGGCTTCCAAGAACGCTTTCCCTCTAGTCCAGGGTGAACATGTAGGATAAGAAACAGAGATAGAGAGCACAACAACCTATCTCTTCGTCACTCCCCCGCCTGGATAAGCGACTCTGTGCCCCATCCCCCTCTACCGGACCTTAGATCCGCAGAGGGAGAGGGGGGGAACAACCCCAAGGGGGGGTTTAGGATTTTAAAAGAAAACCCCGCAGAGATCCAAAAATGGATGAAGAAGTAATTACAAAACGGTTTATAAAACCAAGAGGTTATTCCTCATATTTCTAAAATGTTCTAATCTAATTCAGGGTTATACCAACTCAGCTCCAAGCAACCAGACGTAGCAACCAGTCAGTCCAGTCAGAACCTTCTCTAAGGTCTCCCCGCCCCCAACCTACTAATCATAAAAAACTGAAACCCCATAAAACCCCAATAATATTAATAACATTTAATAATATTAAAAATAGTATCAATTCTGTGGATAACTAAATAAATAAATAATTAAACAAAAGCCAGAGAGAAAAAGTGAGTTTTAAGTGTTGATTTAAAAACCAGTTGACCAATCATATCTCCCCTCTAAATGGGTGGGCTTTATTATCGCGGACTTTATGACAAGTTCCGGCCGCTGTGAAGCTATTCTTGTTTCCATAGCAACAACAACTTCCTGTCAACAGCGTAAACTCGCCTTCAAAATAAAAGCATGTCCATACAAAATAGGAAGCCAAGCCAAATTACACTTATGACATACAACTGCAACGAAAGTAACAAACACAATGCAATATCCTTTTCAATTTCAAAGAACACAAATTGGGTTATGAACAGGTGTTGTTTTGTGTGGCAGAGGGTCGCTGTCATTGATGCGTTTTGCACCCGGACCGTTGTTTTGATATTCCGCTGAAGTATACGCTGTGACGTAAAACTCTTTTTTCTTTTTTTCGAGGGTGGGGGTCAGAGGGCCTAGGTATAAAAGTCACGGCTCGCCACTGGGGGGGACAAATGATATTTTTCTAACACATAACAATCGCTGTAAGCAGGACACAGGTCACATTTCAGGCTTGATCTGACCAATAAAGTATTATCGTATCGAATTTGTCATCGTTGTGTTTCGCTGTTGGTTCTAATCGTCATTTCTGTGTTTTCTTCCAGCAGTGGTATGACCGCTCAGTACATGAACCAGGTTCCCTACCCGCACCAGGGGGGCGTGGCCATGGACATGTCGACCTATCACAACTCCAGCATGCCTCCGGGGTCCTACCCTGTGGCGCCCCCCCCCCCCACCAGGCTCCCCAGCAGCAGCAGCAGCAGCAGCAGCAGGCGTACTATCAGCAGCCTCTGCTCTAAAACTCCGACACACCGCAGACCTGACCACAACACACATTTTGGATATTTCTGTTTCCAGTGGTGTGTTCGTTTGTCTTGCCTTGTGTGAGTGTGTGAGTGTGTGAGAGTGTGAGTGTGTGTGATAACTGCTTTAGGGACATTCCTTTAGACATTTTTGTGCCTGATGAGCTAAACACACCATTCGAGACAGAAATACCTGAGGTGTGTGTGTGACGCAGGTCTGCTGTTCATCAGGACACTGTGTGTGTGTGCATGAGGCTGAACATGACGTCGGGAGATTTCTCCTCTCTCTTACAATGCTCCTTTTTCCTGGCTGACAGTGAACACATCGCAGGTCAACATGGAAGAAGAGTTGCCACCAAAACAGGACCATGTTATGAGCATAATGCTAAGGAATTAGCATTGTTCAACACAACGCTACTCCCCAAAATTGTTATTTTTGAATGGACCCCGCTTCGAAGAATTCACACAACATGTCCGTTTTGGGTTAGCAAAAAAAGGTCTTCACACTAATGAAGATAAATACGAAAAAAGGTTCTTTATCTACTTTCCCAATTAACTCAATCATTTGATATTTTCTGCTTCTATACTGTTTTGCAATTAAAATGCTTTAGGCAACCAATAAAACTAAATACACGCTACAATATACATTAGTAAAAAAGGAGCTCTGTATGTGATAAACTAGTGAGTCTTAGCCTTCATGCTAGCCTTTGAGCTGAACTGAAGCCTATCTGTCCCGTGAGATGCTTGTGAGACAGAAACGTGTGCATTACAGTGAGCAAGACGAGAACAATGCATTACTATCCTAAAAAACACTCTCAAAATTGATGTAAGGATGGCAAAAGGACAGCTGTGTTGTTTGGAGCTGTCCTGCACAATATCCTAGTGCTCTCGCTAGTGTGCATTGGATCCCATTTGATGCCTGAACATCATTTTCAAATGTGTCTGCATTAATGTGAACATGGCCTGAATGTTCTGTTTCTAAGTCAGAAGGCAGGAGCCCTTCACTCTGAGCATCTCTGTCCCTTTTCAAAGATGGAAACACTGGTGAGCTGTTAATAAATCTGCAGGAAGGTGCAGCGTTTTGCTTTAGGATACATTAGTTAAAAAGACAGGAGCTCCATATTTCACTAACGCTGATCTGTGTTTTGAACAGAAGTACCAACTATATGTTCAACTATCCTACATTAACAGTTATATTTGTGTAAATGGTTAAAAAAAGACTTCAACTCACGGCCTTGCAATGAAATCTGGTTGCATTTGACATATTTAAAAGGACGTTTTTGTGTGTGTGTGTGTGTGTGTGTCCGACATATTTGTTTTTTATGTTTGTATGTTTCGATGGCTTAACCATAATGGGATCATCAGATTTTAGGGTGAAATAGTTAATTGTTTGTGTGTTTATTAATGTAAACAACCGCTGCATATGTTTATGATTCTCTCGTTAATACCTTCCTGCCTCATCTTCATGTGGGGTCTCTTCCATTCATCAGAAACACGACTTTATTTTATGCAAATACTCACTTTTTCATCTAATTTCTAAATCGTCATGGCCTGTCCTTTTGATTTATATATATATATATTGAGACCTTATACATGTATACTTTACATGGCTGGAGAATGTGTAATTATTATTCTAACTCTTGCTTACTTTGGTTTTCCAGCAAACTGTAAATGGGACAATTTTCTAGTTAATATAAAAAAAGGTAATGTTTTGTTTTTGGGGTTAACATGAAGGAGCCGCTTTCATTAAATCGTGTATATTGCAGTAGCTCCAAGGTTATCATTTCTAGCCAAACTGTCTATATTTGCTTGACGCGCCTCGTAGTAAAAGGCATTGTATATTAGTTGTAAAATACCTGGTTTTTGGACGGTGGCATTGACATTGCACCGTAGCTTTGTAAACATTTATTTACCACTGAATGCCTTGTTTTTCTGTAGAAATCAAAGGATGACATGGACACACGTTCGGCGAGTCACTTCAGTCTCAGATGTATAATTCTGTATATTTAAAAAGATTCCAGGAAAAGTTCAGGATTTTAAAAACTGCTTTTTTAAACGGAGCAAAACGTATAATATTCTTTGAAATAAAAAGAACTGTACCTGTGTGAAGGCTGGTCTTATTACATTTGCCTGTGGATGCTCTTTCTCAGGCTTCATATTTGTTCCTCTTACCTCTACTGTGACATCTTCCCATGCTTTGAGGAGATTAGGAGAGTCCCGGGTATTGCAGGTCTCGCATAATATCATTTTTGGGTCAATATTCTGTTTATTTATCTCTGCACTGGCGACATCCCATAAATCTTGGGAACACCTGAAGAGAATTTATTTAAAGAGTCCTCTCCTGCTGGATTCCAGGTGTATATCAGTATGTAGTGTCTCTACTTTAAAGAGTCCTCTCCTGCTGATGTTCAGGTGTATCAGTATGTAGTATAAGTCCTATGTTGATGTAGTGTATCGGTCTCTACTTTAAAGAGTCCTCTCCTGCTGATGTTCAGGTGTATATCAGTATGTAGTGTCTCTACTTTAAAGAGTCCTCTCCTGCTGATGTTCAGGTGTATATCAGTATGTAGTGTCTCTACTTTAAAGAGTCCTCTCCTGCTGATGTTCAGGTGTATATCAGTATGTAGTGTCTCTACTTTAAAGAGTCCTCTCCTGCTGATGTTCAGGTGTATATCAGTATGTAGTGTCTCTACTTTAGAGAGTCCTCTCCTGCTGATGTTCAGGTGTATATCAGTATGTAGTGTCTCTACTTTAAAGAGTCCTCTCCTGCTGATGTTCAGGTGTATATCAGTATGTAGTGTCAATACTTTAAAGAGTCCTCTCCTGCTGAATTCCAGGTGTTTATCAGTATGTAATGTCTCTACTTTAAAGAGTCCTCTCCTGCTGATGTTCAGGTGTATATCAGTATGTAGTGTCTCTACTTTAAAGAGTCCTCTCCTGCTGATGTTCAGGTGTATATCAGTATGTAGTGTCTCTACTTTAAAGAGTCCTCTCCTGCTGATGTTCAGGTGTATATCAGTATGTAGTGTCTCTACTGGGACATGTATCCATGCTTTCTCATACTGTCTGTGCTGCAGCACCTCTTTCCACCCTCTGTCTGAAACCAGAGCCCAGTCTGCTCTGATTGGTTAGCTGGCCGGCTCTGTTGTGATTGTTCAAACACTTAAAGATGTCCCGCCCCTCACAATGTGTTAGAGCGCTAGCCAATAGAAGCGTGAGTGTTACATAGTGATGTCACTGCTCCTAAAGGAGTCCAGACTTTTCTGGCCATTTATATGCAGAAAAACACACTGAAAAAACCCTGAAGAGCCCCTTCAAGTAATTACATTCATACAATTAAGAGGAAGAAGATAAAAATAGAAACTGTGGAACTAATTATTCTCTTCTTTTCCCTGCACACTTCACCAGCTGTCTGTGAACAAGATAATAATACGACCGTTTATCAGAAGGTATGATTTATTCATTGCACTTGGCCTTTTTATAGTTTCAGTCCTTTTACTTCTCAAAACGGTGCGCGGGTCATTCTCTAAATACCAGTGTTATTGTGGTGGCAAAATGCAGGTCTAAATGTCCTCTCTTTAATAAAACGTTGAAAGCCACACACTGCAGGCTGTCCTTTAGGAAAGCACAGCTGGTAGTGCTGTCTGCTGAGCACACAGGAGATGTTATCATCTGTTGTTTGTCCTACTTCCTTTTCTGAGATAAAACCGGCCTGTTTTATTTTTAGGCGAGAAACACAGCAATAAATCCGTAGAAAGTTATTGTTTTGGGCTATTCGATTAGACTTGAAATGCTGTAATATATATTATACTTGATATATGTTTAATTTCACTTGTGGAAATTGGGTGTAATTACAGTGTTACATGGGTATAATATTGGTGTAATACGGTTTAACATGCACCAATGGTATACTGTGGGTGTACTAACTGAGTCATTTGGATGTAATTACAGTGAAATAGGGCTTTTATAGAGGTGTATGTTTGTATAATATGGGTTTAAAAAACAGTGTTATGTAGAAAATCGCAATCAATTAGTTGTACATAATATGTATGTCATTGCGCATTTAAGGGTTAAACGAAGATTGAAGGTGAATTTTTTAGAAAATACTTTCATTTTCATAATTGTCAAGCGTGGATCATCAATTAGTTTTACATAACATAATATTGATATCTCATTGCGCATTTAAGGGTTAACGCAGTGATATGTTGAGGGTGAAGTCTTGATTTTCACAATTGTCAACCTAGGATGCGCATCTCAAGTTGCAGCACTGAAAAGTCTGCATTGTCCTTGAACGCAGCACCATTAAAGCCTAGTTGGATGGGAGTGAACAGTGAAGGTGAAGGAGGGGGGGGAGTATATGTGGTCGCTCTGATCTGCGGGGCTCTTCATCCGTGCAGAACCTCCGCAGACTGGGACCGGGACGCATCTTTTCCCTCCCCTGTTGTCGTGAAGAGGAACCGGAGCCAAGCTGGAGGCGGCGGTGCACCGGCCTCCTCCTCCCCCGGAGCAGCAGCACTTCCAGTGGGGAGGAACCGAGAGACAGCCCCCTCCCTGGACCGATGAACTGGCGGAGATGTCCCGGCACATCTACACCCGACACGGGATAGGAGAAGGGATGCAGAAGCCCGTGTTCCAGGTAGGACGACGGCAGCATTATGGAAATCTGTCCTACTGTCTTGTAGTTGTTTTAACGCAGATTAGGAGTACTAATATTGATAGGAAAACAACACATTTTGTGAAATTCTCTTATTTGTAATGCAAAAATAACATGAGAGTCCTTATATTGATAGGGAAACGAAACATTTGTAATCTCTCTTACTGTCTTCTAGTTGTTTTAACGCAATATTAGAGTACTAATATTGAGAGGAAAACAACAGATTGTGTGAAAATGTCTCTTATTTGTAATGCAAAATAACATGAGAGTCCTTATATTGATAGGGAAGAAACACGTCTTAAATCTCTCTTACTGTCTTCTAGTTGTTTTTAACGCAGAACAGGAGTACTCATATTGAGAGTAAAACAACAGATTGTGTGAAAATGTCTCTTATTTTGAATGCGAAATCACATAAGAGTCCTTGTATTGATAGGGAAACGACACATCTTGAATCTGTCTTAATGTATTATATTTATTTTAAATGCAAAATAACATAAGAGTCTATACATATACAGGAAAACAACACATCTTGTGAAAATCTATCTTCCTTTCTTCTAGTTATTTGTAATGCAAAATAACATAGGAGTCCTAATATTGATAAGAAAATTGCGTGATAAGAGTCTTATAGGAAAACAACACATCTTATAAACATCTTTCTTACTGTCTTCTAGTTCAGAGAATAACTATTCGTCCCACAGAGGGGACGTTTCCATTGTTACAGCAGAAGTAAAGAGCTAAAAATAGCTTCATAGTAATTAAGAGTAATGCATTAAATATTAAAGATAAACAAGACACAAGTTACAATTTGAAATGCAAGGTATAATTAGAGACCTAAAGTCCTGATAGAAAACAAACACATCTTGTGAACATCTCTCCTGGTATTGATAGGAAAAACAGTGTGGGGGAAACTTCTGAAGCAATTGGAGTCAGGACTCAGAGAGACACGAGGAGAGCTGGAGCTTTGATGGCAAACACTGACGGTTTATTTGGAGCTTCGGCCGGAGAATTCACAAGACATGTCACGGAATTGAGATTGTGGTCTGACCACACGGTTGAGATGCCACCATCAATTCAGAAGAACCCTTCTGTAGTTCGAGGTTTTAACTAGTTCAGAGTGTAATAATCAACATTCTTCAATAGATAGACTAAACAGCTGAGGGATACTGAATCACATTTGTTGTCGCTTATGGCTCGGGGTCATCTACACCCCGAGAAGGATGTGTTCCAGGTGTCCCACAACAGTAACTATCTCTGACCGAGAGTTGCCCGGTCACAAACTGGTAACAACAACAACTTGCTAGGGCAGCCCCTCCTTAAGGGAGATAGCATGCTGCCCAAGGCTGGGCATCTGCGTCAGAGGGCAAAAGGTGAACATCTATGGAAATTATTCCCTGACATTGTTGACCTCTTGATTTACACTCATTGATTTAAAGAAATGAGCAGAGACCCCAGAGACAGTGAACGCATCGTGCTGCCCTCTGTTTCACTGAAGCTGCTTTTTTCATCACTCCTAACGAGCGTCGAGGGGTCATCGTTAATCAAATACAGGTCCAATATGGGGAGAGTTTGATTTATTCAAAAGGAAATTAAATCGGGTTCTTAATTATTAAGCATGTTCTGATGGATTTCTACTGATGCTGCATGCATGAGGAAGTAGGGAATATAGATGGACTTTTTTGCACTGGAGCATCATTTAGCAAACATTATTGATACTGAACAGGGCTGTAATTTATACATCTATGAATCAGTACTTTGGCTGTCAGTGTCATTCAACGCATGCGCAATTTTTGACAGATTTACTTATAGATAGTTGATACAACAAGGAATATTAAAGGGATTGAAACTAACGAATGGTGGAATCTCTGATAGTTTACACATTGATATAATCCCACAGAATCAGTCAATATATTATATTTAAGGCTGCATTCGACAACTATTTTCTACATTTACCTTGTCTTTGAAATGTCCAAAATGAATATGGCCTTTGAATATCATGTTTTATTTGACTGCAACATCTAATGATTTGTATTGACTATCACCTATCTCAAAGAAGAAAAGCAATGACTGAGACAACAGTGTTAATTGAAACTAGCAAATGTCTAGCATTTTAGTAACTAAACACAAAACATTTATGGCGCATTTCCACTGCAGCGCGTAGCACGGTTTAAGCGTGCCGTGCCAAACCCGGCCCGTTTTTGGTTGCGTTTCCACTAGGGGTAGTTCCGGCTAACGAGTACTTTTTCACCGGTTTTCTGGCCCTCCAAAATCGTGGTTCTTTCCGGGCCAACAACCGGGCTGAATATGCTAAATTAGAGAGAGAATCGCTGGCTCGGTGCTACAACTACAACAAAATGAACATGTTTGACCGTGATTCAATTGTAATACACGTTTCTAAATGATGCCGAAGTAACAACATACTGATACCGGTTAGTAAAAACCATTAATTAATGCTTTG